TCGGGAGGGCAGAACAAGAATAACAACTTCTGATGAATAGTGAGATAAATAAAATACTAGTACATGAAATAAAATCGTAAACATGTCATAAACTCGTAAATTACGATACAGCCTGCTTTTTTCAATGCCTTACATAGATCAAAGACATTGTTTCTTGGTTTTAAGGCATTCGACTGACGTGATTTTTTCTCCCCTTCATGGTCATACTAAATGCTCACTAGTCTGTTTAATACGAGCAAAATGACGGACTTTGCCAAAGTTTTAATACCGATACTTGAGAAAAATACCCTTTTCTCTGAATGAAAATCTTGTAATGAATGTTTAGATAAGGTGTTTACATTTAATACCTTTGAAATATTTTGCACCTTCATTGCACCTGCCTATGCGGGAAACACTTTCGAATTTTTTTACTCGTTATCACAAAATTTTATTACCTTTGAATCGTATAAAAGTAATTTCGGCAAAGAAGGTAATTAAATGTTCTGCTTGCTTTTAATACACTAAATATACAAACAAAGCGATTTTGTCGATCATATAAAAGATATATGCACTCTAAAATTAAGAAAAAAAGTGTTCAAGAATTTCAGTATACCTTGATCACTTTTTGTGTAAAACAATTTCAATACTTTAAAATATAAGTACTAAGTGCTTCAGCGGTAGTTGAATGACTAAGATATGAACTACGTGTATATCAGAGTTTATATGTTCAATCTGATATCCCTATACTTGCTCTTGGTATTGATCAAAAGTCACGGAAATACCATGGGCTTATATTGAGAAAAAATGACGGAAATATTTTGTTCTTTCTATCTAAAAGCACCAACATGCCTCTTTTTCTTTCTTCTTTTTAAATTTCTTATTCTTCCTCCTTCTTTTTCTTCTTCCTTTTCCTTGGCAAATATGCCACAAGACGTTTAGAGAATGTGTACAATTTCATGGTTGATTGACACAGATACCTGTTAAATAATATTTGGGAAATAGCCACGGTTCTTTCAAACTGCTCTGTATATATTTATCTTACTTTTTATCTTGAGAACAGCGTTGACTGCTCATATAATTAATAGTTACTGTAGCATAACATATTTTTATACTCTAACCAATTCACGGACAAGATCGCTTCTGAAAGGCGGAACTATAAAATTATATTTAAACTAGAACCGTACAAATTGATTTTTGCTCATCGTAACAAATGCCACATTATTGTTTTACAGTACATGGTTGTTAAAATCTAATAAAAGCTAAGATCGTGCACTGTTAACTTTTATAGTTGAAACGATCTCAGTCATCGTGTATTAGCATGTCTATATTCAGGACTATATGTAGTTTGTTATTCAATTAATTAGTTACTTGGTTAATTAATAAGTTAATTAGTTCGCCCGTCCGTCCAGACGATCTCTGGAGACAGACATTTTGAGGTTATAGTTTGTTTACAACTTCACATTATGAGGTTCACTGTAGTTTCAGGGTTAAAAAGGCAGCGCACATGGGACTGGAATAGTAGCTTGTAGAACGTAGGTTAATACACTGAACGAACGGCTCAATACTCTAGACTAGATCTGAAAGTTCAAAAATTAAAAATATAAAATTTGTTTGATGTATCTAATTTCCAGCGACAATAAACATTCTTGGCAGAAATGATTCGCAAAAAGTTGCATTCAATTCCGCAATACATCATTATTTTTCACATAAAACGCAGTGGAAATAACTTATATGTTTGTGTTACCCTATACATACAGATATATCGTGTACATTTTTTGTCAGCAAAATGGATTTTTGAAATACGTTATTTAAGTACATTTATATTCTTTAATTTCTCAAACATATATATTTTAATTCGAAATACTTACGTGCTTAGATCGTTTGATTTGATGTTTATGCGAAAATGTTTCGTTGATAATAACCAAGGTTATGCAGCATTTGCCAATATTTAACACATCTTAATGTTTAAAAGTAAATTGTTCCAAAGTTATTGCAAAAAGATAATTCTCGGTTAAGCCAGTTGGAATAAAGTTATTTGTTATCTTAAGGTTTTAATTGAAAGTAAGCCAAACTGTTTCTAGCACTTCAAGGTGTACGTCCGAGATGTGACGGTTTTTAAAAGAATCGTTTGTACTTTTGATATTTACATATGCTATATTTTGGTCTTTCAGATTTAAAAACAACAAAGAAAAACTAGAGAAAAAAAGACTAGAATTTATAGATTGATTGAGTTCTATGATATACTAGTATTCCGATTGCGTGCACATCAAAAGAAAATTTGTAAGGATTTCTGTCTTGTCGTTGTATTGCTTTTTTCCTTTATTATATTTCAGCATAACAGTTGAATAACCCTTGATTAACTCCGCAAAACAGTACATTGCACAAGAAGTAGATATTATTACAATACACCCAAAACAGAAAAACAAAGCCCAATAAATATTAGGGAGGCAGAAGGCCAATGCCAAAAACAATGCATAACAAGAGGGCTATGGTAGCCCTAGATCGCCTACCTGAGATCCAATGATAGAAAAGATCTTTCTGATGCACAATTAATCAGATCACATCCGGTTTGTAATTTCTTTGTATCTAAGCTCTGACCACAAGATTAAAATGCGTTTTCTCACTTGAAACAAATATACTAAACTAAGTGAACACTGGGACGGGACAATTCTACCCATAGGGGCATGATTTATAAAAACAAAAACAAATGTGCGGGACTACACGCTAATTGATATAGTAAATAGCTCAACTGTGTTATTGAAGATATATTCACTAAGTCTATGTAAACTAAGTTACCCCTAACACGATTTTTTTTTACTTTTGGTACATGATTTTATATCACTTTTGTGATACATGGCAAATATTTATGCTCTAGGTATTACAGTTTTCAACACCAAGAATCAAATGTGTTTCTTATATACGAGTCTATATAAACTAAGTGTCCTCTGGGTCGGAACCGATTTTGACACCAGGGACAAGGCCAATACAGGAAACATGCGCATATTATGGAGTGAAGTTGGGGTTGATTATTTTGTTTTCGAATATTTGTAATATAGAATATTATATCACAAGGTTTGGATATCAATCTAGAACACAAAATCAGAATATAAATAATCCTGGTCTATTACACGAAAAAGGGAAACCAGAATCAGAATCAACGTACAAAAAGTAACGATGAAAGGTGAATATGATTACGGTTAATTGTCATCAAAATTTTATTTCTATAATTATCTTTAAAATGAAAATATAATCCTACACGAAATGATTCAAAACCAATCTACATTTCATGACGAATGTAAAAAAATAACACCTGTCTTCTTTCCCAATGGAAAAAACTATTAAATACTAATTAGCATTAAAACAGTTAAATAAAGGTAAAAATATATAATATAGTTTTCAAAAGCAGGTGCGTACATTTTACTATCTTCTATTTCATTCATTTAAAACCTGATGATTTGCAATTAAAATAATGTTATTTTAATGCCTACCTAATTTAAAAAAAAAAACATAAGAAGTTATTTCTACAGTATGATATCATCGATCACTGTTTCCAATTAATTTAAGCACGTTTCACCCATTTGTTCTAGCTGGTTGTAGTTGTAATTCTATGCAAAACTTATGTTCACCAAAATATATAAATATGAAATATTTAAATATAAATATAGAAATACTATACATGGCAGTGTTATTAAATTTGAAAGCTAATTAAAGATAAATCTTGTCTCAAGAAGAACGTAGTAACTCTACAGTAAGTTACGACACATAAATACCGAGTATTATTTATACGACTCGTAAACCCCTGCTATCACAAATTTGAAAATGATACTAGATATACAGACCTCCCTGATACCAAATATTTACTGACAGTTAATGGGTTTATAATTGGATATACAAATTAACATGACATATACAAGACATTGAGCGCTCCGTGTACTTGTTAGTTAAAAATACTCCTTTAGTTTACATGAATCTTGCCTTGTTCTAGTCAAAACTTGTATATATATTCTACCACATTGCCGTGAAAATATAAAATGAGTATGTACCATAAAGTTCAAGGTTAAAAGTACATTTCAGGAAACTGTTAAAATGGCTGTGTCTTGATCAGACACAAATGGATATTACAAGATCATGCTTGTAGTGATTTAGTGTATCTATCCTAAATTCAAACAAAGAACTCAAGGCCTTTACAAATCATATATGCAAAGGTTCAAACTGTCAAAACATCACTGCAATTCTTTGCTTTTAGCTTCAACTTCTTATTTATGAAAGCATATTCTAATGAAAGGGGAAAAAATCCGGAAATAATATAATTCTGTACATTTTGTCACTAATTCAAAATGATTGTGCCACTCAGAGTTAGTAACGTAAAGCCAACTTTAGCGTTTCTCCCAAATGCATATTAATTGTCATTATTATATATCAGTGTGGAGTTCAACGTTATTTTAAAGATTCCTATTCGCAATGAGATGTTCTAAATTATTTCTCACCAGTATGATCGGTTTTTCAAGTGCTAAGTGTAAAATTAAAACAAAATATATGATAAACCTGTATATTTTAAACCTGTTTAGAAAATCAATTAAATAAATCTGAGCTTTTGATTATGCGATCCCACAAAACTACTTTACAAAACCCCTCTCTACAAAAAATACCATTTCCAATTTAACAGCTCAGAATTCTATATATACTCACAAATTCGTGAGTTTTTCGAAGAACTAAAGATAAATCTCAAAATCAGAAAATCATTTCAAAAGCAGAGCTGTACTTTACAGTTTTAGTCAGTTTCAATAGACGCTCTGTTTTTATTTTTTCACCGGAAGTCAAGATACGTGAATGAAGCAGATACATCTTTTTTATTTCGTTTGGTTTCCAGGGTAAATAGATTAGCCCGATAAGACTCCACAATTACCCACCTATTATCAAGATTTTTTCTCATCAAATGCCAGATTTATCATATCGATTTACTTGTCCTGCCTCCCCTTGAAACAAATAATGAACTAGTCTGAATTTCTAAATTCATTCTGCAGAAAAAGTCCGTCTGCTTTGAAAAAGGAACGCGCCTTCTCGGATCATTTGAATCATTTCGTGAAGGAAGTCTTTAAAATTCTTAAGATTTAAGTTTGTTGAGTGCGGGACTTTCCGAATTATCGGTAAAAGGAGAAACTTTTACAGAAATATCCCGAATCAATTTTTTCAGAAAATTTGAGTTTATTTAATTTGAATAATTAGAAATGGCAGAGCAACTAGGCGCTGGATTAGATATTGAAGGTTAGTAACTTTTTGTTGTTATTATTATTATTATTAACATCAACAACAACAATAATAATGATAATAATTATTTGTTATTATTATTATTTGAATATAGAATTTTTTATGATTATTAACAATACAAAATAGTTTTCTAAAATAATACAGCTTGAATATGCTATGATATCTATATTTGATTCTACTATAACATTTAAGTACATTTGAGAAAATCGCAATTTTTCAATGATAATGCAGTATGTTTCAAGTTCCTGCAGCGAATTAAAGACTTTACCGATTCTTTGATTTCTGTTATATTTAGCATAAAACAGTGAAATATTTCAGATGATTAGAATTGCAACTCTACATCTTGAACAGTTCAAATCCAGTCAATAAATGCATAAATCATTTATATGTATGCTTTTGTAAATACTCTGATTTAATCATATAAATTATGTGCTACATTTACCACGATGTTGTGAAAATTATTTCTGTTTACATTTTAAACCGAAATACATCAGAATAATTTTATTTCGACGAAATACAGAAGGCTTAGGTATAGACTTCTATACATCTTTTTAAGGAGAACGTTCTTGTTTTCAAAACATAAAATCATATAAAGTGGCCAGATCATGAATATGTGTCAATTGTGTGCCTTTTGTAGTTTTGCAGCCCATTTACATATAAAAATGCTATATGGCGAAAATAGTTTTAAAACAAAGATCTAAAAAAAAAAGAAAAAAATCTTTTTTCTCTCTGTAGAATAAAATATTGGAATAGATTAAAATAATAACGGAGAAAACATTTGCAATATATTCCCTTAAGGATTCAAGTAAAAGGAATGAAATAAATAATGGATTGTATTGATAAACAGGTATCTGATATAAAGCCTGAAGAACAAAGTTCTTAAATCCTTGCCTAAGTGCGTATAAATACCACAGTAACTAGCATTATCGGAAACCCTCTAAATGAATGATCGTATTAAATCACGAGCTAAACATCTTAATGATAATTGCTATAATAAAACCTCCTTCAACTCGTTATTATATACATCATATATTAATTTAACTTATTTTAAACACACATAAGAGGTTGAACACCATTATTTATCTATAGGGCGTCTGTGCTTAATGGTGCATAGCTAAACCAAAATTTGCCTATGAACTTTCATAGTTGCGGGCGGTCTGAAAATAAAAGAAAGAATCAAACAAAAAAAGGATAAACAATCTAGAAACAACCAATATTCTAAAACAAGTACATGTGTATAAGACAATGGCAGACGTTGCTGCAAGTGTTGTTGTATAAATACATACTTATGTCCTTTATAGAAATTAATATAAGAACTTTAACTTAATCAAAGGTATGAGTAAATATATAGAGTACAGGTTCGTTCCCTTGAATTACCATATGAAATAGAGCAATCATTCATACATTCTTGTGCTTAGTTCTCTACAGTAGTATAGTTCTCTACAGTAGTATTGTATGTGTTAAAATGTGTCCTAAGATAAATTATATACGTATAGCCAAATCTTAGAAAATAAATATACCAGGATAAGATCTAAATAAATTCTGATCTGTTTTCGTGCATTTCATGTCTTGTAAATTTTATCATTTTTGTTCTAAGCGATTAATATGCACATTTATATGATGAATAATAATATTTTGTTCTGGACACCTGCTATATAAATATATGTTATATCTTACACTTGTCAACAACATAATTATATAGTTCTTTCGTAGTGTGTTGTTATATCTGATACTTTATACTATCGGGGTAATTATTTATTGTATTATAAAACTTCCATTTTAGACAAATTACCTTTAAAAAAGAGATTTCACAGCGGAAGGACGTTCCATTGCATTGTTTGTCATTTCACAATGTAATTCATAGTAATTACTAATGACATGTGAACTGACTCGAATTAGATCCATATAAATCAACTAACTTCATAAGTATCTTTTGTGTGTAAATTAAGAATCAATATGTTTTAATGTGCGATTTAGGTTTGGAATAATTGAATTGCATCTACCCGGAGACAAAACATAGCTTCATGGTTAAAGTGCCCGTCACACCATGACGTTCTGGTCAACGCTCTCGTTCAATTTTTGAGCTTTCTAGAATGAGGTTGACACATCTGGCGCGTGATTAACTTGTGTCTAAAGCGTCTAACGCACAAGAAGCGTGTAACATTGACGAAGTAAGATACCCCTGAATAGTAAGCATGCATCATGACGATAAGACAAAAAGGGTGGGGCGAGGGCTTCTCTTACTAGCTACTGCCAAACCCTTTCCCCTTTACATATTCATGATTTAGTCCAACACTGTACTCGTCTTCGTCGGGGTCTTATTCCCGTTGTATGAAATCCCTCGATAATTATGTTCAGCTATGTTTTAGTACAGTACTACTTGAGTTTGGCTATGGTAAGCATATATAGGCTACTAAATCTTTCAGGATCTTCCATAGTAGGTGTTCTCTACGGTAGCCCAAAATCAAATGAACCTTGTTTTTTTTACATTTGCATGGACGTTCGTTTAACAGTCGAATAACGTTCAAATGACGCTCAATGAACGCCAAAAGGTCGTTTGTTTCACTTAGGTCACACGTTTTGTGAACCGTTCAATGATTGTTGACAGGTCACCAGTGAGTCGTTCACTGTAAAGCAAACGAAACCAAGAAGCGATTGAGTAACGGCTGACTAACGATAGCCGAACTTGTGCAACGGTCGGCGAAAGTTAGTAAAACGTTCTCAAACGTTCTTCAGCGTTTGGAAATTAAACGTTGAAGAACGCTGGCCTGAGTGAGAACTTGTGTGCATGTTCAAAACTTTTCTCCAGACCTACGTTCTCCACCGATTCCCGTCGATTACCGACGTCCACACAACGTTCTTCTGGCGCTACCCCAGGCAACCATGGGCGACTACCAATGTTTCGTCAAACGTCATAGAACGCTGACCAGAACGTCATCGTGTGACGGTCCCTTAATGTCGTTATATATGTTTTAGGTCTTAGTTCCGATTTATTAATTCCAATATTTTTTGTTGTGAAGATTAAATACCGTTTAAGTATGCCGGTGCTAGGGGGCATGAGAGCTTATGCATTTCAAATTTTCTGTCATGAACAAACAGGTATGGTGGCACAAAGGTGACATGTGTATGTGTTTATCTATCTCGTGCGCACGAGATATTAAGTAGTGCGCTCGAGATACTAGTACTATGTCGTGGCCACGAGTTACTAAGTCGTGGCCACGAGATACAAAAGTGGTGCGCACTAGATACTTTGTCGTGGCCACGACTAACTAAGTGCTGGCCACGAAATAATTAAGTCGTGTGCTCGAGCTATTATGTCGTGGCCACGAGTTACTCAGTCGTGGGAACGAGATAATTAAGTCTTGCGCACGAAATAACTTACCAGTCAGATTACAATATATATATATGAATTTTTTAAACTTAGAAAATTCCTGTTTAAAGTTTTACATGCAACATTAATCTTTGAAAATACGCGCACATAGTTTCTCGTGCGCACCACTTAATTATCTCGTGGCCATGACATAGTATCTCGTGCGCACGAGATAAATTAAAACACACACATGTCACCACTGTGGCACCGTATGCCACCGTAAACAAGGTTTACGCTATCATTGCTCTTGAGGGATCTCATCTTTCGTGGTTTTACCACGTGACTCTGGTGTTACAAAACACATTTCGGAACACCTCGCAGGTTAACCCTGTAGTCTTAACACGTGACTCGTATGTAAAGTAATTAAAGAAATCGTAAAAACCATGATAAAACTTGAACACAGTAGCTAAATAGATATACGATAACTTGTCATTACTTATTAGTCTTATCAAACTGAAGATAAGTTCTTTGATAAACGTACAGATAGAATGGTAGATAGAATGTAATTCGTGAAGACATTCTGGAATAGTAACAGGTGCGCGAAATCTTTCAATTGTATTGCATTGATAAACATCTTGGTAGTCATACTAAAGGGTGCTATATCATATTTCTGAATATCGAAAAATAACAGTATAGTTTCAGTAACATGTAGAGCTAGCTGATCTTTAAGAAGACGTTAGTGGCATTACGAAAGTTCTTCAAATTAATGCTCTAATTTTACACAATTTTACAAAAGATAAATGCCGGAAACTGCCCTCTTTAAAAAGCATTGATAACAAATAGCAATTCTGTGAAAATTCAAAATGAAAGGGGTACGCGACCCAGCGCACTCTAATAATACAATTAATGACGTTTATGGCGGCGGAAAATAAATACAAAACGTAACAAGCGTCTTATGAGGTTGCCAGTAGAATTACTGCTATGATTGAGAAAATATTTACTTATTACTTATAACATTATTTTGTAAACAATGTACATTCTATTATATATTCTAAGTATCATACTTTGTGTTACGATGATCACATGACGTGATAATTGTTTTTATTTATCTATTTGCATGACGATGTACTATGTACAGGTCTAAATAAAACGTTGTTCTGTTCTTGTTTCTGAAAGTATTCTCCCTTGTGCTCTTGGTGTCTGAATAATGAAACTATAGTTAGGCCTCGTTTAAGAAGATGTAATAAGTAAGAAAGTAATCATATTAAAAAATTCCGGTGGCCATGAGACACTGATATTTTAATTATCTAGAAATCATTTTGCTTGGACTAAGAATTTTAGTATGAATTTACACTTTAAACATTGTGATTTTTGTGATAATGTACAGTTAAATAAAAATATTTATCAGTTAATCGTATAAAGCAAGTGAAGCCTTTTTCCAAGGTTTTATTTATTTCGTCTGCTGTTATGATTAAACCTGGAGTGCTGCTAGCCGCATTTTATTAATACCGCTTAGAAAACAAAACTTTGAAATTTATCTCGGCTCCGTATTTATTCAGTTCTGTTAAGTGCGAACTGGTGTTATTTTAGAATATTAGTCAGTGTCAAAAGACGCACTTCGGGTTGTCTCTCACCGGAAATAAGATTCATGAGTTTTTATGATGTTGTGTTTTGTGGTTTAAGATGA